AAAAAAAAAAAAAAAAAAAAAATTACTAGATATGCCCCGAGGCACCAGGAGGCCACACACAGATGGCTACTGGGGACTGCACAGTGTGTGGCCTCACAGAGGCCCAGATCCCTGAAAGTGACACTGACATGAGGCTGGGCACAAGGCAGTGCTGTGTGCATTGCAGTGTCACCAAGACAGGGCAACTTGGGGACAGAAATGTTCTACAGTACTCAACTCTATCATCAGACAAATTCTACACTTTCTGTTAAGTCTGTAATGCTGCAAACACTGAACTCTAATGTTACTGTGCATGTCAGCAGCCTCGTCTCACTCACCTAGGAAGCATATTCGACCACAGTCCCTGGTCAGCAACTCTAGTATTTTAGGGATGTAAAATGTTGGGAATAAAACACATGATATAAAGAAAAGTTTTGAAATTTTGAACTCTGCTTTGGTTAAATTTAAAAGTTATTAAATTTGCCCTAGTTTTCTGAAGCTGAAATATCTTGATAATCAAATGGTCAACCACAGGGCCGGGTATTTAGCTCAGTGGTTCAGTGGCCTGCCTTGCAAGCGCAAGGACCCGGTTCAATGCCTGGTACCAAAAAAACAAACAAACAAAAAAACAAATGGTCAACCACATTATATCTGTGATTCATTTCATTGGAATTACCTAAGCCCAAAATATATACAGGCAGTAAACAAAAGAACAGTTTACAAAATCAATTACCTAACAAAACTACATACACTGAAGGAAACTTAATTACCTGTCACTGCTAGAACAGATGTCAACACCCTTAAACATAAAAATGTGTAACAAATGTAACGATCACAAAAATCTTAGAACTGAAGCACATGAAGCTGTAAACCTGCTCTTGTTAGAATTTTCTTAATTCAAATCTGCTGGGGAGATAGTTCCTACTTTCCATTCTTTCATATTCTGCTCAATCACACCAGATTAATGTCAGTAATACTGATTCAAAGTTTCTAGAAATTCCACTTCTTTCCTTGGACCCACGCAATTTCTTTATAGTCTCAAATTCTTGACTGAACACATGTGTTAGGAAAAGAGTTTTGAAAAAAGGAGTTAAAATCTTTACTTACCCACTAGCATTTCAAAAAGGAAAACCCCAACAGACCACCAGTCACACTCTCGTCCGTAATAACCGTCGCCCCCTTGCGATTTCAGAACCTCAGGTGATATGTAGTCCGGGGTTCCGACCGCTGTGTCACAGTGCACCATGCCTGTCTGGGGAAACAGCAGAGAGCGGTGCGGGTCAGTGTGGAGCACACATCGACACAGCTCGTGGTCTGCTGTCAGCACAGCGACTGTTCCTGCCACCAACAGAGCCACGCTACTGCAGAGGCGAAGGGTGCGGGTGGACAGGGTGTGAAACAAATCAAAATGTGTGGTCCGTGAGAATCAGGGGTGAGTTTTCACCCCCAAAATACAGGAGGCTTCATCAATCAAGGAGGGCAAAAGTGGTAATCTCTGGGGAGACTCCAAATCAACAACTTCTAGGGTTCTGTCCTTATTTCCCTCCCAAGCACCTACCCTGGGGAGAGGAAAAGAATCCCTTAGAGAAAAGAAGCCTTGCCGGTTGCCAAAGAAACTAAAGCAATTAAGAGAAGTAATGACACCAGGGCCTGGAGGTTGTATAAATAAATGGTTCTTATTTTATTCAGAAAAACAACCGAGGAAACAGATTAACACTGAAACTGAAAGATCTTGAAATTTCGAAAATTACACTTCTAAGCAACATATTAGAAACATACATATGTGGCGTCAATGTATCTGGCAAAATGATAAAACCCCCTAATCTGTGTCTAGGGCTAAAGGGTAACAAATAACTGCAACCTGGAGTCTTTCCAACAAGGATGAGACCTGGGTGTGCTGCCAAGGTGCATCACACCATCATGTACAGAGCTCAAACACGTCCTGCGCCCAAGGCTCCATCCACCTGGCAAGGATCTGGCAGATGAGCGGAAACGTCCTTCATCACCTTTTCCTGCCCAACAGAGACCGTGTCCCTCACACTTCTCACAAGGAAGCCAGTAAAAGTGACAAATCACCAAGTATCATTCCCTTGGGAAAGGGAAGTCCCATTGGTTCTATGAACATGATTTGTGTAAATGTATTTATTTAGGTGCTATAAAAACATCTTAAGCATGGGAAGTTAATTTAAAACACTTTTTTTTCATGCTCAAATTGGCAGAAAAGACTCCATGACTGCATTTCCTCCAAGTTATTTTAGTGTGGAGATATAATTAATAAATCTTGTGGAAACTGAGCAAGCTACAGGAATACTACTTTGTGTGCACCACGACATAACAGAAAACAAGGACAGAAGAAAACGAGACAGCGTCTGCCTTCAAACAGCAGGACACACTTTCCTTCTGCTGGTGCTGTGGACCGAATGTGCCTTGGCGCACTGGGCAGTGCTCCCCCAAACACACCGGGGAGTGTCCTATACTTCACACATCTACGGGGGAAGTTAACAGGGTATTCAGCTTGAAGAAACTCTTAATTTCACCTGAATCCACAGAAACTGCACTTCAATAAAACATGAATCTTTTGAAGACTTTAGAGTTAATCTCTTACACACACACACAAATACAACCAAACAAAAATTTAACACCCAACGTTCTAAGGGTGAAGGGGGTGAAGGGAGGGCAGTGGAATGGGGAAAAATCAAGAACCAAGATTTACCATGTAAAGGTACAAGATCCCAGTGATAAATGTAACTGTACTGTTGCTTTAAATGTACCAAAAGCCTAATTAAAAAAAAAAACATTCAAGGTTCTGAGGAAGGAATGGGTGAGGTGAAAGAACCCTTTCTTAGATTGCAATGTTCAAACAGGTCCTTGGAGCTTCATCTGTTGAATTCCCCTTCATCTGTCCTTGCAACTCATAAAGGCTACTGGTGCCAGAAACAGAGAGCGAGAGAGGGAGGGGAAGAGGGAGGGGAGGAGAGAGACAGAGTTTAGGTGTTTACTGTGGTTAAACAAGTCAATATATCATATAGCCAAGTTTTTGTTGTCAAAGAAATAACTAAAAAGAAAGGAGGAAGAACAGAATGAACCCTGTGATGCTGGACTTGAATCAGGTGTGTCAGGATGAATGTACGACATTTAATATGCAACACACACAGCAGGTGGGAAGTTAGGTTAGCACAGAAAGCACAGAGACGACCTGTTCCCAGCCCCGCCCAGTGACGGTGTGTAGGACACACACGTCCCAGCTCTGCCCACTGACCGGGCATATGTAATGCTCCAGGAGCAATGAGCACATCTGGCCCCACTCAGTGGTGACAGTCACAAATTATTTTAGTGTAAGTTCCTCCATCTGACAGCTGTATTTTTTATTTTTGTTTTTAATCCATGACAATGTTTTATAGTCAGGACAGATGGAAAGTGATCCAAGAACCCATGTCTGTATCACAGATGACAAATTTCTCCTGTAAAGGCCAGACTGTTTGGGCTTTGAGGTCCACATAGGGAGTCGGTGACGGGTTTTCCTTCTGCTTTTAAACCCCCATCAAAATTTTGCTGAACAAAACAAAGTGCAGGCTCTACTCTGCCCCTGCCTCCAAAGGTGAACAAGAACCGATCTGTGGAGTGTCGAGGGAGTGACAATTCTCAAGCAAAGGCCAGAGACATGAGGAACCTGGAACTTGCAACAGTATTATTCACACTCCCAGCTGAAATTGTAAATTCTATGCGCAACAGTTATATATAAACTTTTCTTCAACATTAAAAATAATCATCATTAATATTACGTGAATAACAGAGATTTTGGCTAAAACAATATAATTGAAGCTGGGTATTTAAAAGCCATCCAACTATATTAACATGAAGGGTTTCTATCTTAACCTCAATTCTTTCTTCAAACAAAGGAACAGATGGAAGACGTCAGCATGGCCTGCAGATCAGTATCTGGCGGTACAGGGACCTGCCCCACATATCAAGAAGCCAATTCAGAGAAGACCGAATGATGACCAAGTGCACACAGAGAGGAAGTGTCGGACAAGGACAGGAGGAGAGGGCCCTCGTCACCACAGGACAGGGGCGCTTTTTAAGAAATTCTGCTGTACCTAGGAAGCTCAGGGGCTGGAAGGGTTACCAAGGAGAAGCAGGCATAAGACCCTCACACACCACTCCCCAGAGGTCCCTGGGATCCATACAGCAGTGTCTTCTGCCACACGGGATGCAGGACAATGGCTTCTAGCTCATACTTGGGAAACCCTTGCTGGGAGCCACAGGGGACCTGCAAGGAGAGGATCCAGAGAGCCCTGTCGACCGTGAGGACTTGGAGGTGACCTGAGACGCTGACACCGAGGCAAAGGAAAGATAAACTACAGATGCGACCACACACTAAGCAGTAACCAACTGAGGTACATTGGTCAGGGAAAGCTGTGAAGTCAGTGCTGCACGACAGGGAAGCAACACCTCCTCTAAGGCTCTGTCCTGTACACAGGGAACCTGTGTGCACCACACTGACACACACAGACACAGTACACGGGGAGAGGAGACCAGAGCCCGAACGAAGGGCGGGAACTCATGACAACACGCCAGGAACCAGCGAGAATGGTCAGCTCAACTCTTTTAGATTAAAAAAATTACAAATGCAACTAGATGAGCCACATTTTATTATACTTTTTAAAAGATAATGTAGGATATTCTAACAGGTGATTTTACTATCTGTAACTTATTCTATAACTATTCTGTCCTGTTCCCCATATTCTCACACTATACCTTTCCGCCATTAATCACCTTTAATTTCCCCCTAAAAACATGCAGTACCCACCCCATCACCAAAAGTTTTAATTAAATCAGAATACACTCATGGAAGTGCAGCACATAAACATGGAGATTTCACAGGAGTTTACCATTCTGTTAGACAGTTATTTCAATGACACACAATGTTCACTGTTAAGCATTTCATATCATATTATTGTAAATACTACAAGAGGGAGCCTTAGGAACAACCAAAAACCAGAACACAGGTTAATATGTGCACAACATGGGGAGACTGTATCAACATTTATATAAGTCATCTGGTAGAATCCAACAGAAGAATGAAAGCAAGCAAGCAAACAAGCAGGCATGATCTCTCCCCGTCAGGAATTAAAGTACTCTCGGAAAGACAAGAGCAAAGCACAAATAAATCAATATGATGATTAGCCATGAGTTTAATGTTTCTGAACCCATTAAAAATATGAATTACTCAATAAGTAAAGCACATAATAATGATGTCCTTAAATTTATTCTCTATGGTTGATATCAACTCCTCAGTTAAAAGAAAATTACAGAAATCCCAATGATGGTGGAAATACCTGTGTACACAGATTTAGATTCTGTATTCTAACCCTATACCTGTATCATTGTCTTAGTTATTTTTTCCTCATTGCTAACACAAAATACCTGACATCCAAATGACAAAAGGTTTATTTGGCTCACAGTTTGTAGGGGTCCACAGTTGGCTGGCTCCAAGGCAAGGTGTCTTGGCAGTGGGAAACTGAAGAGGAGAAATAGTCCATGGCAGGCAGAAGGCAACAGAGCAGCAACTAGCGAAGAAGCAACAAGCAGCAAGCGACAAGCAGCAACAGCAGCTCTTTTTCTGCCCCTTGTATTCTATTCTATCCAGCACTCACACCCAAGGAGGGCTTTCCCATTATCCACACCCAGAACTATGCCAAACCAATCAGTGGACTCATTTACTTATCACATACTCTAAATGCAGCTACCTCTCAGAAGCGCCACCTATGCATGCATGAGGCTTTGGAGGGATGTCCAGACACAAGCCCTAACAACCATTAAACACATGAACCAATTTGACTGACAGCAAAGGTTTCCAACATAACATAAGGAAGATAATTAAGGTATCAGAGTTTTGTTTTCTCTTGCATGACACAAATCTACCAATATTCCATGCACAGATCCTTTCCGGTGAGTGGTGTTTCACTGCCTATTCCACTGTTCACACTCATGGTGCCAGTACATGTCACAAGCTACTTAGGGGAGCGAAAAACAGAGTCTGTGCCACTGCACTTGTTCAAATGGGTGGCATAAAAAGGTTTTAATTTAGTTTTGTAATCAGCCAAGCTCAATGTATCTTTACCCACTCTGCGAAGTACTGGTTTGATGTAGTGCACTATTCCACTCTCCTCTTGCCTACGTACCTCATCCATTTTCATACAGGTGCCAAAGTCTGCCAGCTTCAGGTGCCCATGCCTATCCAGCAGCATGTTGTCCGGCTTGACGTCCCTGTGGATCAGGCCCATGGAGTGAATCACATCCAGAGCCAGAACCACTTCTGCAGTATAGAACTTGGCCCACTTCTCAGGCACGTCGTAGTTACTCATCAGGTTTACAAGGTCCCCACCAGGCATGTATTCCATGACCATGTATAGATACTTATCATCTTGGAAGGCGCAGAAGAGCTGAAAAACAATAGGAAAGGAAAAAGCAATTTAAAAAAACAAAACCTTATAAAGGGAACAAAACCCCAAAACACTTTTTACCAGTGATGAAGACAAGCTATTTTATAACTAATATTGAGTTAAAGTTTATGAGATCATTTATTTTAGACTTGCACATATTCAATGGTACATAAAGCAGGGCAGGAAGAGACAAGATTTTTACATGGGTACATGTTCAAGCATACTATACAACATGCAAAAATCAATGTTCTTCTCTCTGAGAAAACCCAATACTGTACAGAAACTGTTTAAATACAAATATCTGAAAAAGAGAAACAGTAACAATGAGGAACATAAAAAGTACAAATGACAGAAGAATCTACTATAGTTTAAAAACAAATAGCTTTCTGAAAACTAAACTATTCACATACCCCTGAAAGAAAAGCACCAAGGAGACAGGAGCAGTCTAGAAACATCTAAAAGCTACACAATTCAATGGGTACAAGGGAGGTCCCAGTGCAGCGGCAGACTCCGCTTTCCCCTCCCCTAAGTAGCTTGTGGCACTGTTACTGGCACCACGAATGTGAACAGTGGAACAGGCAGTGAAAACCCACTCAATGGAAAGGACCTGTGCATTCTAGCAAATGGCACACCCTACCCTTCCCAGAAGCAAGGGACGCAAACAAAGCAAAGCATTTCAAGAAACAAAATTAATACTCCAGGGGATGCCACATAACACAACTTGGGGGCAGCTGTATGTAAAGTCAATATATACGAAAGCCAACCAATATGGCACTAATTAAACAGTAAGCTGACGGGAAAACCCCTGAACTGTTAAGGATGGATTACATGTCCGCAGACAGGAGACTAGATTACATAGCTAGGAAAACTTTCTCTGAACACACTGAAGGGTTACGAGAAATAATGAATGCATTTATTACTACTTTGTATGGCAGACATCTACTACTACACAAAACAAAAACAGATGAAGGGAACAAGCCCTCTAGTATTATGGAGTATAGCCCCTAGGGCGGTGCTACTGGGAGGCAGCGACCTTTAAGAGGTGAGGCTGAAGGCAGACTTGTCTGTGGTGGCACAGTGGTCCCTGAGGAGACTGCAGGGTAACCCAAGGGAGAACGAGGGGACCAGGGCCAGTGTCTGCGCTAGTACAATACAGTCAAGGAATTCTGTGTATAAATCCCAGCACCCTCCAACACCAGCACTTCTTAAAATTATTTGGAAATGCAAAGGACCCAGAGGAACCAAAATAATCCTGGCCAGAACTAAGTAGGAGGACTTTTATTTCCCAATTTCAACACTTATCACAAAACTAATCAAGACAATAGTAATACTGGTATAAAAATCCACATACAGATCAATGGAGCTGAACAGAGTCTAGTAATAAACAATTGTATTTAATGATGGGAAAGGTAATTTATTTTTATTTATTTTGTGTTTCTGCGGCAGGGTCTCCCTTTGTAGTTCAGGCTGGCACTGAACTCATCATGTAGCCCAGGTTGGCCTTGAATTCAGTAGGGATCCTGCTGCCTCAGCACCCACTATCCCCCAGTGCTGGGATTACCACCACACCTGGCTCAAGAAGAGGTGGTATTTTTTTAAATAGTGCTCAAACAACTGGGTATCTATAGGGAAAAAGATGAACTTTTTGTTTTTGTTTCTCAAAATTAAAGTGCCATTAAGGTGAAAATGCAGTCTATACATGCACACAGAATTACAGCTCAGCACTGTCTCATGTCGGTCACTGACCCAGCAGTTACATGGCTGGGAGCTGCTGCACCTCTTACCAGCAATAAGAGTACTAGACTAGATCACGTTTAGCTAGTGTGAGCAGAGATCCCAACTCAAAGCCTTCAGCTTTCTCTTTGCCCTACAACCAGACTCGAGCTACACAGGTACTGGAGCTGGGGCGTGGAGGACTGTGCCGGCATGTGGACAGAGGCTGTGAGCTGTCCCGGCCCACACAAGGACAGGCAGACGTGCAGCCTAACAGGCAATGCGAAAGCCCCAAGGGATGACTCTAAGGAAGACTGAGAGAAGGTCCAACGATGAAAGGTCAGCGTGATGCGGCCAGGAACGTGTTCTCCTGACAAGAGAGACGTGACCTGGACAAATGTCGCTCTGGGGGAGACATCCTCACCTGGGAGTACAAACTAAACGATGCAGGTGCCCTGGCTGAATGCTGTGTGCAGCCTTCCAGACTCGCGGGGTGAAACCCTCAAACTCCACACTTGGGGTCATGAGAGCTGGTCTGTTACAGATTAGAGCCCTCATTAGAGGATACGCCGAGCTTGCCTGTCTCTCTGCTGTGCCCCAGAAGCAGACCATGAGAAGGGAGGGCAGGCCCAAGCCTTCGCCAGGACTCAGCCTCACTGCGCTGCCCCAGAGCTGCAGACCCAGCACTGCGCGGAAAAGGGCCAGCACTGTCCCTCCCGGAAGAAGGGGACAGGTACAGCACATGCACCACACTAACGACCAACAGACAGGCATCCTAAGGGGAAGGGGAACCGAGGAAGAGACTCCACAGGGGCATTTTCGAAGACCATGTTCACACATACATGAATTCTGTCTGAGGAAGAACTCTCATCACTTTACCAAATGCTGAAAAGCCTTGGATATTAACTTTTGCTACAGACTTGGTAATACTTCTTAGTTATCACAACCTAAAATTACAAGGCAAAACAGTACTTATGTGTAAAACTTCATTATACACAATCATTCTAATGACAACATCAATTGTCCTATAAACAACTTACAAAGGAGAAGCACAATCTCCATTCTTACACTAATTTGCAGTGAATATATTTTTGGCGCTCAAACCAGTATCACAGTACAGCAGAATTTCTGCACCCCAATATAAGTGCAGAAGAAAACTACTGCAAAACTCATCCAGCCTTTGTAGTTAAGGAGCTTCGATCTAATCTTCAAGTGCAGTGCTTAACCTGTAATATAATGACCTTATTAAATAGCTTAGATCAAGAAAGGCACTTAAAAGAATGCATAAAATGTCTTCTCCAAGTCATAAATGTGCTCAAAATTACATGCTCACGGTCATCCACAGTTACAAATATAAGTAGACATTCTTGGCATTATCATTAAAGTGGTACTTTATGCTCTTTCTCTCAAAAAGAAAACCTATAAACCTGGTCTATATAAGAAAACATCAAGGGCCAGGGATTTAGCTCAGTGGCACCGCACCTGACCGAGAAACTCAAGATCCTCAGTTCTATCCCTGGTACCGAAAAGAAGAGAAAAATCAGGCACATTTCAATATAGGAGTATCTACTTCCCATTAATATACTTGAGAAGTACTCCTCAAACTGTCAGAGTCATCAAAAGCAACAAAAGTATGAAACTCACAGCCAACAAAAGTCTAAAACACAGTATCAAATGTAACGTGATGATATTCTGCAACAGAAGATACTAGGCAGAAAGTATGAAAACCAGCTGGGGACTTAGCTCAGTGGTTCCACCGCCTGTCTTACAAATTTAAGGTCCTGAGTTCAATCCCCGGCACCA